CACACAAAAAAAAAAAAAAAGAAGCAATCTTCAACTCCACCAACAGCAGATCGGGGTGGGGAAGCCCTGACCTATCTCCCCCCTGATTGAAGTTGCAGAGAGCAACTCCAATCAGCAATCATCCACAAGGGCAGGTGGGAGATAGGTGGGGGAGGTACGAATGAGAGGGAGTATGCCCTTGTGGAGGTGGGCGAGTGGGTGGGGCAGGTACTGATTGAAGCCGCAGCCGTCATCCGTACCTCCCCCACCCACTCACCCACCTCCACAAGGGCATACTCCCTCTCATCAGTACCATGCTGAGGGTGAGGCTCCCCCACCCACTCGCCCACCTCCGCAAAAGCATCCTCCCTCTCGTCAGTACCATGCTGAGGGTGAGGGTCGATGTCAGCACCGGGAGTTATTGTCTTTGTTGTTGCAGATGTTGTTGTTGTAGTAGTTGTTGATGTTGTCGGTGTCGTTACTGCAATCGCTTCGCCGCCGCTATTGTTGTTGTTGTCGTTGTTATTGTCACCCATATTTCCCTTCTTGTCAATCCCACCCAATTCTTGCCTGTCCTCATCACCCATCCCACCCTTAATCATGACCAGAAGCATCCATGCAGAATGCGAAAAGCGGTCACAAGTGTTCACAACCATCCAGGGAAGTCCTGGTGTGAGTATGTCCTAACCACCTCCCTCCCTGTGGACATCATTGCGGCCAGTAGCATCCAGGCTCATCAGGACCAATCCCTGTGCCTTACCTCAGGTCCCCTCCCCTATGAACATCAGCAGACTCTGCTCAATGCCTATGGGGGGATCCAGTGGTCTATCTCTAGGTGGCAGGCACCAAGCATGCCTAGGAAGGTACATGGAGGACTGTAGGGATTGAACCCACGACCTCCTGAATGCCACTTGGGAGGCTTACCAACTGAGCTAGGCCACTGGATGTGTCCTAAGGCCTGGACCTCACTGGCCGGCGGTTGGAAAACTTTTGGCGTGGAAAGTCGATTTCGGACCCCACCAGGCCGCCGGGAGGTGGCTTGGAAAGGTGCAAACGTGTTTTGTAGACCCCACTGCCGTCCTGGAAAGCACGGCGGGCGTGATTCTACTCGGTCGGCGGCTGGAAAACTGCCCGCCAGGATGCGGCATTCCTTTTCCAAAGTTGGCTTTTCTGGCGGGGTGGGGCAAAGCGCCAACTGTGGAAGGCGGGGAGTGGCAAGGTTCGGTCCAGTGCATGGGCGCCGCAGTGCCGCAAACGGTGTGCGATGCCACACACCAATTCCCCACCATGGAATGCTTCCGTGGTTTTCCTAAATCGGCAAGCCGGCCCGTTTCCAAAACACCACCACCAGTTGGCGGTGGAGTCTCCCTGAATTGTGCCAAAAGCTTTCCACCCGAGTTGGTCAGAAATTCGCGGCCGGCCACTTTTTCCAGGCGCCGGCCAGTGGGGTCCAGGCCTAACTCTCAAGAGCGGCGGGGGGCAACATGCTTGGAGGGGTCCCCTGTATAGGCCTACCTAGCAGTAGTGATAGGTAGATAGTGAAAGGTGAAATTGAGAGAAAAAAGAGAACAACAAAAAGAGCGTCCCCTTTTGATATGAAAACATCAGTCGGGAAAAACGAAGAAAAGAAGAAGAGCGGTCCCCTCTCGTTGGCAGGCCTCTTCAGAGCCCGCCAAATGTGAAGCGACAGGGCGCTGTGGACCCGCGGAGCTTTCGCCGCCGTGGGCGGGAAGACGAGATAGCAGAGCGCTGATCAATTTATTATTGAACAGATTTTGATCGATTCAACTTGCGGCTACGATTTGCGTCAGTCTTTCGATTCCCCTTTTTTTTTTTTTTTTTTTGCCCCCCCCGCCTAGCCATTGACGTACCATCGTCGATCTGACCGCGCCCAAATTCATAATTGTCTTATTCCAGGCATCTATGATCTATAGTGCGGGATTCGAACTCAGGTCCACGTCTCGATAGATCACGGGTCAGCAACTCGTTGATTTGTTTTTATTTTGTTTATTTTGTTTTTCCAGAAACTCGTTGATTCAGCATCTCTACTTCTTCGTTTCGCTCCTTTTTTTTTTTTTTTTTTTTTTTTTGGGAAAAAGCAAGGTTTTGCCCTTTTTTGTGGTTCGGTGCCGTATATTTTGGTTTTGGGTTTTTGGTTTTTACGTTGCGCGGGGTACGGCTAGCAAGCAGAGCGGCGGGAGGGTGTCTGGGCTGCTGCTGCAGCAGGGCGCGGCAGTGAGGGTGGGCGAAGGCAGTATTTTCCCGGCGGTCAGGCATTTGTCGGCCTGGGAGAGGGAAAGGTTGAGGAGGAAGAAGAGGCGGGTGTGTAGACCAGTCGGCGCCGCGCATTAGGCCGAGCCAGTGCGGTGATGGAGGCAGAAGACGATTCAAAGTCTCGCCAGCTACGCTAGTAGGGAGGTGAATCGAGAGCGAGAGCGAGCGCGGGCTCGAGCTCGAGCTCGAGCGTACTTCACGTATGACAAAGGAGAGGGGAAGAAAGGAACTGGGACACGCAAAGCCTGTCAATCTCTACACAGAGTGTGTCTCGATCCCTCGCCGGTGGTGACGGAGGAAGAGTATGACCCGCGAGACGAGCTAGGCTGGAGGAAGATTATGACCCGCGAGACGAGCTAGGCTGGAGGGGGGTGGGGGAGAAGGGAAAGACCATCCATGTACATAATTAACGGACGAGTGGTGGTGTTACGACTCTCCCATTGTAGTTGCTCTTTTCTCTGAGAGAAGTTGGGAGAAGTGGAGGAGCGGAGAGAGACAGAGACGACAGGAGCGTTGAAGAAACAGAACCTATGGTAATATCGCTAGACCCTGACTGATGTAAGCATCTGCCGGATGGGAGAGTCGACACGTGGCCTTCGAGTAAAGGAAGCGCTATCTCTGTTTGCCCTTCACACACACACACACACACGCACACACACAGAGAGAGAGAGAGAGAGAGAGAGAGAGAGAGAGAGAGAGAGAGAGAGAGAGAGAGAGAGAGAGAGNAGAGAGAGAGAGAGAGAGAGAGAGAGAGAGAGAGAGAGAGAGAGAGAGAGAGAGAGAGAGAGAGAGAGAGAGAGAGAAGAGCCGTTGGGTGAAGCGTGTTGGTCTTGTGAGAGAAAGGTAGGGAAATAGCGGCGGGGGGGGGAATAAGAGGAGGAAGAGGGAGGAGGGGAATGATGGCAAGTTCCGCGTATCCCGTGGAGGAGACAGGTAAGAAATGGACAAGGAGGGAGAAAAAGAGGAGGAGGAGTAGTTTTTCTGCTGGAATGACGACGGATCTTGCTCGCGGCCTGACTCTTGTCAGTTTCATCGCTGTCCTCATTCTGTCGAACGGCGGCGATCGTTCAGGCAAGTCCCCGTCTTCCCTCTTTTTCCCGGTGGCATTTGAAACTGCCGAGGCGGCAGGTCTTCCAAGTCAATCTGATAAAGCCGCCGCCTTCTCCTCTCCTTTCTCCTATTCCTCTTCTTCTTCTCGATCGGCTCTTCCACACCGAAGGTTCTTAGCCGCGTCTGGAAACTCTGCTCAAGACAATCTCTTCGCCGCCATTCTCAATCCGACTGTCACCAAGTTCATCGTTAAGACGGACATTAATTTCACCGCTTCTCCACCTCCGATTGTGAATAAAGAGTTTAGGATTACTGGCAATTGCGGCCAGGAACGTTGTATCTTGGATTTTGGCGGGTGCAGTGGATTCCAAGCGCATATCGCTGGTCCGTATCCCGCGAAAATCACCTTGGTGAATCTGGAGCTGCGCAACGCAGTGGACAACGCGCTCCCCGATTCCTCGCAAAGTACCAATGGGACGGGAACGGGTGCCGCTCTCTACACGAATAATGCCGATGTGTATGTGCGCAATTGCATCTTTCGCCGCAACAAGGCGAGCTTCCGAGGAGGGGCCATCTTCGGTGATGGCTCTAGTCTCTTTGTGAGGGATTCCTTCTTCTGCAGCAATCACGCGGAAGAAGGGAGTGGAGGGGCCGTGATGGTAGCGAGAGGAACGACAGGAAGATTCTCGAACGTGTTTTTTGGCGGGAACACGGCTGGCGGGAATGGTGGCGCGCTTCACTGGCAGGACAGCAAAGACTTGGTTGTGCTCAAGTCTACGTTCTCCTGTAATAAGGCGAAGAAGAGCGGAGGAGCTATCAGTCTCTTCAACGACGATTTCGTCTTTCCTGTCTCTCTCACCAGCATTGGATTCGAAAACAACTGCGCTGTCGATCACGGAGGTGCGGTGTTCTTGGGAGTAGGGTTTTCTACTGCAGATTTCTGCCGCAATATGTACTTCAACAACACCGCCGCGCTTTCGTCGGCGAATGGAACGCACCCATCTTCCAACAGCGTGTTTGTCACTGTCAGTGACCAGCCTTTATTCTGGGACATCCCGCAGAGGGTGTCTTTTTGCCCAACGAAGCCTGAAGGGACATCCTTCATCGCGACATCGTCTTTGGTCCCGCAAATAGTCCCATCTTCTCCTCTCAATGGGACAAAGATCATTGAGAGCTGTGAATACTGCTTGTAGACGCTCTCGTATTGGTGAAAAAAACATGAAATGCTCGTCATTATGTCTTATTGCACTGCTGCCGCTAGCGCAATCTCTTCTTTTCTCCCTCCCTCCTCCCGCTTCTTCTCCTCCCCCCTCCTCCCCCTTCTCCTTCTCCTCTTTCTCCATTGGGTTCTCCTTGCCGTCGATTTATGTGTGTTTGACGGATTCTATCTATGACGATGCTCTCCTTTCCTCAGGAGCTACATACATGGCAGCTCCTCTCTTATCCTCCCTCCCCCTCCCCCCCCCCCCGCCCCTTTCTCGCAGTTCCTTGGAACGATATATATATATATATATGTTTACTTTTATTCTTCGTATGTAAGCTTAGTTCTCAAGTTAGGTCAGAAGATTGTACGGATGAGAACTAGGTCAGATTGTACGGATGGACGGGTTTTAGACTTTTGTCTTTTTGCGTTTTCTTTGTCCTGTTCGAGTTGTGTTCCTAATGGAGCGACAAACGTAACTGTGACTATGAATTCTTCTTTCTTGGGGGGCCACGAAGGGAGCTGCGCTCTGTTCACATCTATGTGCTTGTCGTAGTTGGGCTTTTCCTCTTCCTTCAATCTGTTGGTCTCTTTCCTCCCGCTACTGGCCAGCCGTGGGATAATAAGTATTTTCTTCTTCTCGCTCTCGACTGCGTCGCTCCCGTTTCCTCTTTTCCACTACCCTTTCCCCTCTTCACCCATTCCGCTCTTCATCTGTTCCTTTCTATACCAGTCCCTCTCCGTCCGTCTCGCTCTCGCCTCTGTTTACCTCCTTCGGTATCTCTTTGATTGGTACTTTCTCTTCTTTGTTCCCTGTCATTCATCCGCGACTAATCAATCATCACGTCCGACTAATCAATCGTCTCGTCCGACTAATCAATCATCCCGGCCGACTAATCAACCATTTTGTTGCCTTTCTACCGGTCACGTGAGTTTCCTTTGCGTTTCGTTTTGTTCTTCGTTGTCTGTCGAATCGTAGCTGTGTTTCTGTGAGTGCTTGCGCAGATATGGTGGCATATTGACAGACACCATCATTGCTCTCGCTCGCCTGGGCTTCTTTCTCGGTAGTGGAACGGCGGATCCCCTTCTGTTCTATAATCATGTTTTGTGCCGACCAATGAACCGGTGCGGATTGCGTCGGAGTATTCCTTTCAATTCTCCGAGTGGGTTGGTCCTTTTGCTGCTCGACTTCTCCTCAGCAAGTCTATCTCTTTCCCCCGTTATCTTCCTCATCAATTGCTCTCTTCGTTCCCTTGTGTCCTCTTCCACTAACCGCGCCTTTTCCCCATTCTCCTCGCCGAACATTCTTCTCTTACCACCCCTTCGTCCTCTTCAGCAACTAGTCCTTTGTTTTCCATCTCCTCCCCGATGCCTCTTTCTTTCCCCGTTTGTCTCTTCAGACAAGTCTGGTCTTGTCCTTTATTCTCCTCACCTAGTCTGACACTCTCCTCATTCTTTGTACGGAAGGCAGTTGGCCCGTGTTTTCACTGTTTCGTCATCAAGTCTGGTCTCCTCGCCGTTCTCCTCGGCAGCAAGTCTTGTGCTCTCCTTTCCATTCTCTCGCCCCTCCACAGCTTGTGTCCTTCCGTTGTCTTCCACTTGCGTGCTGCAGCATGCGGCGATTTCTTTCTGTGCAGGAATACCTTCCTCCTTTTCGTTGGTTGGTTCGCTGCCCGACTTTAATTCCGCTTTTATTTTAACTTATATATTCCCTCTCCCTCTGTCTCGGGCTGAAGCGGACTTCAGCAATTCTATTCAGAACGCAGGGGAGGGGAGAAAGGAGGCGATTTATTTCTGTGCTGAAATATCCTCGTTTGCGTTGGTTTGCTCTCCGACTTTTCTTCCTCCGTTCACTTATTCATTCTCTCTCTGTCCCTCTCTCTCGCGCTGAAGCGGGCTTCGAGCAATTCTATGCAGAACGCAGTGAGGGGAGAAAGGAGGCGGTTTCTCTGGACGGACAGATGCACTGCGTGTTTCTCGTGAGGAGAGTGGAGAGCGCAGAAGGGGGGGGAGAAATTTCAGCGACTGCCGAATGCGGCGGCCGCGTGATGCAGATGGATGTGTTCTTTTTTTTTTTCCTTTTCGCTTTCGTTTTCACTTGGTTTGATCTTCGGTCGAGGCACGAGGTGATGAAGGGGGAAATCGAGGCCTGCGTGTGCTTGAGAAGGTACGTGCGCGGGCCTAGGAAGGGGAGAGAGAGAGAGAGAGAGAGAGAGAGAGAGAGAGAGAGAGAGAGAGAGAGAGAGAG